GTGGAGAACGGCTGCAAGAGGACTAGCGAAGACTGCAAGAGGAAGCCCAGAGGAAAGAAAGAGTAAAGATTCACTGGTGGCTGGGAGACCTGTGAGCCTCTTGGCCCCCTAGATCCCCTGCCCGCTCTGTGCCTGGTTGCCTCCCTACAACTGGCATAGGTTGGCAGGGTTTTTGACTCAGATGAGTATGGAGCCCTCTCAAAACCTCGGGATGGACTGAGGGGTGGCAGGCCAGAAGCATGTAGTGCTCAGTGTACTAACAGGGGGAATGTCATAGGAACCAGAGTAGGGAGAGCACATCTGATCTCTGCCACTCGTTAGCTGTGTGTTGTGTCCTTAGGATAATAACTTAAACTTTCTATGCCTCACTTTCTAATATGTAAGACAGGGATCATGATAGCACTCAGAACTATGTAGGAATTATAGGAAACATCCATAGATGCTATCTGTAATGGACAACTTGGTACTTATAATGGGCATGTTATCAGCTGCTAATATTATTTATGATTATAGTATTGTTAATTAACCTTCAGTTTCATGATATTTCCATTTATGTATTGTTAATTAACCTTCAGTTTCATGATATTTCCGTTTATGAACCACAGGTAAAATTTGAGTATTGTCTGCATTTTTATGGTCTCCTGACAAGGTATTTCTATACTTTGAATATTTTACCTTCAGCTGCTCTAAATTTTCATAAAAGTGTAAATTGTTTTAAAAAAATGACCACAATCTTTAAACATTATAGCAAATGGCACTAATGAATAAATCACAAAAAGTAAGTTATATAAATAAAATAAATACCAAGGACCGCTATTGTATCCACTTAATAGTTGCCTCTTCCTGTGGCCTGTTCTCACACGCAAAACTTGCTTCCTGTTTTCTAGTACTTCTTAAAAACTAATCATACAATAGCAGATTAGCTGCAATTATCATCCAAGAAGGCTTGAAATCTGTATTTTTAAAATGCCTCCTTTGACACAGATGTGTTGGAGATTTGGGGAAACTCTTTTCCACACTCTGACTTAAGTTCTCAGACAGGTTTTCTTCACCAGCACTTGCTACCATCTTCTGTATGCCTGCGCCTCTCTGCTGCCCCTGTACTGAACATTTATAATAACCCTGCAGATATATATTCTTAATCACAAATTACAGGTGAGGAAACTAAAGTTCATTCATGTTTAGTAATTTGTCCAAAGTTTTAGGCAATGAAAATGAATTAGTGTCTGGCACACCTTAGAACATGACGTAGATTCCATGAATATTTGTGAATATGAAAGTGTCTCAGATTATTTTTTCCAATCCATCTCTGCTGCTTTCCTTTAAAACAGCATGCAGCTAATATCATAGTTGATATAGTTCATTTGTTTAAGCATTTAAAATCTTTTTGAGGGGATGGGTCGAGACTTACAGTCTGTAAGAGTAAGAAATTGATTGATTGATAAACAAAAGATTCATTGAAACAAATACCTAAACAAACTGTGAAGAACACTGTTGAAAAGATACAGAATTCAGGGAATCAGAAGTAGAAAATACAGTTTGCCTTATGGAAACTCAAACACAGTCTTGTATTTGAGATACTTGTAACAAGAAGAGAAATAGATCATTCTTATATATGTATTCTTCAGGCATGTGTATAAATTGCCTGCTCAAAAAGTTGCTACATCCAAGTGCAGGAACTACCCTTTGTCTTTCTACAGCCATCGAATATTTTCAGGTTCCCCTTTCTCTGTGGTTCCTGCTCAGAAGTCTCCTCCTAATACTTCACCAGCTCCTTGTCTCCATCCAGCTCCATGCCATTATTAGATAAAGCTAAGGAAGAACTTGTTGAAAGGGAAAAGGTGTCCTCTGTTCCCTATAGACTCTTCCATCCTAAATGAGAAAAAGTTCACTCAATTCAATCTGCTTTTAAAAGACAAATTTATAAAAACATTTATTTATTTTTATTTATTTATTTTTTTAACAATTATTTATTTATTTATACAAGCACTGGGTACAGTCAGAAGTGTGGGAGGGTGAAAGAATTCACCAGAGACAGAGAGGGGAGCAGAACAGACAGACTGAGGAAATACATTGCTGAGGGGAACAGCGGGCAACTGGAGAGGTTTGCGCGCCATGTGGGACCCTCACTGGCTGGCCGGGAATCAAACCAGTGCTGCAGAGGCTGCGGGCAGCTTCGCAGCCCAGCGCTCAACCACTGCGCCACCAGGGAGGCCCTATAAAAACATTTACAGAAATTCACTGGATTATATAAATAAAAGATTCATGATTATATCCAGGTTCGAAATTGAAAGTGTGTAAAGCACCCCACCTTCATCATATTTCCTACAGAATGCATTGAAAAAATATTCAATGAATTGAAGATATAGATTTTCCTGACTCAAATTCTTTAAATATAGAATTTATATTATTCCCTAGTTTTGGAATACAAGGTTTGTTTTTTTTTTTAAAAAAGATTTATTTTATTTATTCATGCATACAAGAACTAAGGTATAGTCCAGAGGTGGGGTGTGTGTGTGAGAGGATTCACCAGAGACAGAGTGGGGAACACAACAGGCAGATCTACTGAAACACACTGCAGAGGGGAGCAGTGGGCAAGACAGGAGAGGTCTGCTGTGCCATATGGGTTAGCTTCCTGGCCTGGGATGGGACCTGTGCTGTGGCAGCTGCCAATAGTTTCATAGTGCTGAGATTTAACCCCTTGTGCCACCAGGGAGGCCCCTGAAATATAAGATTTTTTTTTTAAATATTTATTTATTTATTTTTTTAATTAATTTGTTTATACAAGCATTGGGCACAGTCAGAAGCACGGAAGGTGAGAGAATTCACCAGAGCCAGAGCGGGAAGCAGAGCAGGCAGAAGGACCGCAATACACTGCTGAGGGGAGCAGTGGGCGGCAGGAGAGGTCTGCGCGCCATGTGGGACCCTCCTCCAGTGGCCAGGGAGCAGCCAGGGATCGAACCAGCGCTGCAGAGGCTGCAGGCAGCTTTGCAACCCAGCGCTCAACCACTGCGCCACCGGGGAGGCCCAATATAAGATTTTTTAAGTCAACTTTTATTAAGTTATTTTTATTCATGTCAACATGTATTAATACTGATATTTTACTTATTTTTTTTCAATATTGAGTAAGTCATGTAACAGGGTGGTCCCAGGAAAGGGGGAGGTTCCAGGTTCCCTGTCCCACCCAAATGGAGGGTGGAGCTGAGCAGGAAGCAAAGAAGCTGCAGAGGAGACTGAGGAAGGAAGGAAGCAGGATGGAGATCCAGAAGGAGACCTGGAGGAGGCACATGGGGCCAGGAGACATGTGAAGAAACTGAGCTTGCCTTTTGGTTGTGGACTGGGTGACACAGATGTGGGTGAGAGACCCGAGTGGAGGTGACAATGGCTGCTTTTATCTTGATTTTGATTTTGCTCTTTTCCTTCCGGGCTTGTCTGGTTGTTTCTGACCCTTTTCTGTGGGTTCCCACTTGAAGATGCTTTAGACTTGTGGCAGGCTTTGGGGCCTTGCTCTGGGCCAATCCCATTTGGATGGAGTTTTACCAGAGGAGACGGGTAACTTTGGGTGCTTGATTTAGAAACTATATTCTTTGCCTTTCCTGCATTGTTTCCTAATTGTATTAAAGTTCCTTTCCATTAAAGTCTCATATGTTTTGTGTTGATGCAGGGGATGGCAGAACCCATTTACAATAGGCAGGTTTGCAGGGTTTGGGCTGCCCCTCTCCCTGCCCTGTAACAGTCATATTTGAACAATTTGGGGGAATTTTGTTTGTTTGTTTAATTTTCAAGGGTATTTGTGCAGGTGTGTTTTTACTTCCTAGATTTATTGCCCAGATACTGTGGATATGTTATTTTCTGTTTTGGAATTTTTTGCTTGTTTTTTTTCTCTTGTAAATTCTTTCTTCAGTTATGTCAATATATTCTGTCTGGCTACAGTCAGGACTTGTCAGGAAAGCTGTTTTGATTTTTTTGGCTGAATTTCCATATAGCTGATTGGAATACATTACAGGTTTCTTTTATCCTTGAACTCTAGATGAAAAACTTATTTCCCCGTATTAAAACTATTTGGAGGAGGAATCTATTCATTGCCATATGTATTACAGGTTCTTCCAGAGTACAATTATGTCGCATAGCTTATGGGGTTGTTATCAAGATTTAATGAATTAATAAGTGCTTAGCACAGTGCTTGGTCCACAATAAGACCTAACACCAGATCTTCACAGTGGAGAATCCAGTCTTATCCCTCATAGTCATCATCCACACCTCTACGTGTTGAATTTCTCTCAGTTTTACTGCTTTGAGAAATTCTTTCACAATTCATTGACCACCGGACATTCAGCTCCAGTCAACACAGACACAACTCAGTGCTCTCGCGCTTGCTTGCTCACTCTCTCTCTGTACACACGCACACACACTTTATCTCTGCTCACGCGCACCTTACTCCTCCGCCCCGCCCCGCCGGGCCTGCCCACACCCACGCGGAATCAGTCCATTTCCCAGCGACCAATCAGCGCTCCGCACGCGACCACGCCAGCCAATCCAAGCAAACACACCCCGCTGCCCCCACCGCCGCCACTAACTCCCCACCCCGAGCAGCGAGTTCGAGCGGGGGCGGGGCTTAGCTGGCCCTTGAGCGCTGGGTGCTTTCCAATTGGTTGCAACTGGCAGAGATTTGACGCTCATTGGCCTCTGCCTCCCGCAACTTCAGCGGGCGGGCACTCCAGAGGCTGTAACGGGTAGTGTGGCTGAAAGCTCTCAGTGTGGGACGGGTCCGGCGCGCCTGAGCTTCGTCCGTTGCTCGCTTCACCTCAGGTAGACGCGTAGAGGCGCCCGGCGCCGTGGCGGTGAGGCGGGCAAGGGCGGGGGTGGGAGGCGGGAGTCCGGGACGCCGCGTCTGGCGCGGTTCCCGGATCACTTCCTGGCCGGGGGCGGGGGAGAGGGTGGGGGGGGGAGCCCCCGGAGGAGCCGACCCCCGCGCGGGTGGCCCTCAGAGGCAAGACAGAGCCCAGGCCCAGGGAGGGCGAGGGGCGAAGGGTCCCGGGGCTTGCGGCTCTTCTCTGCTGCTCACCGCTTGAAGAACCTGGACGCTGATTAGGCCTCAGTTGCTTGTCCTGTTAAGTGGGGAGGCGCGGTAATAACCTGTCGTCTAGGACCCTGGGGAAGCTTCCTTGAGCTCATGCTCTTCTGAGGTCGCGGCGCTTCCTGGTTTCCATTCTTTGCACAGATTCCGTATGGGCACCTCATCCTCTCACAGCAAGATTAGGCGCTTGCCAGCTTCCAAGTTCCCTACAAAGTGCATTAATTCATCTAATTCCTCATAACTTAGTGTTACTATATCCTTTCTAATTTGCAATTAAGAAAGATTACTTGAGACTGGGGAGGCAAAGAAGGGCTTATGGGCCAGAACAAAATTTAATGAATTTAATATGACATGATGTTTAAAGTCTGTTGTAATAATAGGTGATCAGGTTCCAGCGATTTACAAAACAGACTTAGATTCTGAAGTCAGAGAGCTGGGTTGAAATTCTGGTTCCATCACTTATTAGCTGTGTGATCTTGGGCAAGTGACATAACCTCCCTATTTCTGCTTTTGGAAAATAGGGGTACTAATAATAAGGTCAGATCTCAGAGTTGTTTATGAGGATTAAATGAAGCGATACAATTTAAAATGGTCACAAAGACTGACCACATTGTAAAATATTAATAATTTTTAGGTATTGTTATTTTTAATAAAAGATCAGAATATTGGAAGTTTGAACAATCATTTGGACTCAAACTTATAGATATCAGTAGAATTTAATATTGTCTTAATTGTTGTAAAATGTCTCAACATTGTAGTAATTTGTCCTAAACTAAGCCAAAGTGAGCACTGAATAGAGGATTGTTGGTCACATTGCAAAAGTAAGATTCCCTATTGCATTCTTGCAAAAGCCAGTCTCAAAAATGAAAAACTGTACTTAACTGAGTTGGAAAAGCTGAATTACTGATTCAAGATTGACTGGAAATCAAGCGTATAGTAGAATTTTTATGTTATGTAGAAAATATAATTTACAAAGCCTTGGTTTGCACAACATTTGGGGAAAAATCTCTGACATGCCAAGTTGAAGGATCCACATAAATAAACCTATAGCAATTTGGTAATGGAAGGTTAATTCTGATATGAGCTTCTTTAACAAGTGAATTCTGACATACTACATAGGTACAAACATATTTATGGCATTCACAATTTATTAGAGGTTAAAGTGTTTATTATGTTTCATACTTAAAATAAAACCTGTGGTCATTTTACTATAGAGTAGTGGTCAAAGACCTCAAGAATATGTTTAACTTGGGGGCTCTACCCACTCTGAAGGCACTCTATGCTAGTGATCTTTTCAAAACCACGGACATAGAAACAGAAACAAAAAGGTTAATTTAAGGAAAAAAATGAAGATGGCCATTGCTCAGCATTTGACCATAGGACTGTCCAAAATTTTTAACATTTTATATAGAGTGGTTAGATTCTGATATGATTAAGTGGTGCTTGTTCTCACTGACATGTAAGTGGTAGAGTTGGAGAGTTTCCTGATAGAAGGTTAAGAAAGGGAATAAAAGAATTAGGAGAGTTCCAGATTTAAAACAATCTTCTGATATTCTCCACAAGTGGAGATTGCAGTAGCGTATGTTGTGTGTGCTCCTTTGAATTAGTGTGAATGCCCTGTTATATTAGGAGAACACCAAGACTTTGATACAAAGCTCCAATACTGCCCATGCCCTTTGGTTGTGGAATATATTTCCAGAGATGCTTTGTTATGTCTGCCCTCACAGAGATATCATTTTAGACAGTAACCATTATTTTCTTATGGATTTGATCTTAATGAAAAATAAATCTCATCAAGAATTGTGATGGAGAATTAACTGACTGGTTAATAGCTCACTGGGCTAAAAGGAGAACTTTAAAAGTTTGCACTTTGTTCTCTTTCTTTCCTTCCTCTTGACTTCAACCTTACATAGATTTATTAATAGAAATGTTTAAATTTTAGTTATTGTTGTTTTTGTTACAGTTCAGATTTTAAGACGAAATTAGTCAACTCTGAGATCAAAAACTGGACTACATCCATTTTATATCTCCAGGACCTAGTGTATATCTGATGCTTGGTAAATAAAATAGTAGACCCTCCTGAGAAATTACTGTGTTTGGTTATGGTAGTGGAAGTTTTAGTCATTCAGAACCTCAAAGATGGTTGATATGAATGAGATCCTCTTAGATATATTGAGGTCTTCCATAAGTGAGTAGTTCACTCTCTACCTTTTTTCCCCTTTTATGTTTATTGGGTTCCTACTGCATGTTAAACATCAGAAGTATAACATTGGAAAAGTCACAGTTCCTGCCCTAAATATTAGATGACAAGTGAATAATTACAGTATAGAGGTGCTGTAAGAAAACATTATAGGGGGTCTCAACTACTGTTTAGGGGAGTCCTGGAAAGAAGAGTAGAAATTAGACATGAAAGGTCCGTAAGCCACAAGAAGTTTGTACTCAACTTATCAGCAGGCGTGAATGATTACTAAGGTAAACACCTTAAAAAGTTTCAGATTCTCATCTTTATAGGTAATTTTGCTACTTTATTTTTGTGTGCCAGATTTACACAAAGATAATGTTTATGATAATAGAAGGCTTTGATTTCAGTCAAAGTTTTGAAAAAATAAATCTTATCTGCAAACCACAGAAAGCTGGCAGGTGGCCTTTGAATACTGCCTACTCATAATGATCTAGTAATTGATAAATTGCTTTTGCAAGTCCTTTCTGAGAACTTGTGTTTGTAGATAACAGACCGTTGAGTAAGGTCATTGTACTGACTATCAAGTTGGCAATTTCCAATAGAAATGGTATAATATTACTGACTTCCTGACTTTTTGAATGAACTTATCTCTTTTAGTGTACGGATAGCATTTATACTTATATATTTTGCAACACTTTCATAGATCCTAAATTATATATTACTGAACTTTCTATTTTATATATAGATATTTTCCCAGGTTCCTGAAGGAATATGTCACCCTAAAATGTTATTTTGAAAAATAATTATTATTAGCTGAAAGTAATTGGCAAAGGTACTAAAAACTCTTTTCCTTCCTGCTGTCTGCCTGAGAGTTTGATCTAAATTCTGCTATGTGAAAGTCTTCCATCTCCCCTTTCCATACTAGGAAAACAACTCTTACCACAGGAGACAAAATGTTGGCACTGATATGGTCAGCACACACAAACTGTACTAAAAGAACCCTTATCTTCTAGTTGCTTTCCCCTATATATTTATTTTCTCATAATTTACCACCCCTAGAAGCCCAGCCTCGACCCCTTTTTGGTCTTGTCATTTCTCCATAATATATCGCTATTAAAGTGGTGTATAGCCCCTGGTCTGATTACATTCTTTGAGTCTACACTTCTTTTCTATGAATGCCTCTGTGCACATAAAATACAAAATATTAACTTCAAATTCAATATGTGTACTTTTTTGTCCTGTTCCTCTAGCTTTTTCATTTTAATTTTTTGGCTTCTGATACAGAACCTAAGAGGGTAGATGAAAAGCTTTCCCCACCTCCAAGAGTTGCGTATCATTTTAATGTTTACCATTTTGATATCTTGTCTTTACTTAGCTTTTCCTATTTAAATATTGACTACAAAATTGATTTATTTTTGTCACCTTTAGTTTTTTGATTAGTGGGTCTTAGCTCTGGCTGGATAACAGAATTGTCTGTGAGACTTTCTAAAGGACCTAGATTTCTGGGGCCCACCCCAGAAAAGACCAACTGAATCAGAATATATGGCAGTGGGAGCTGAAACTGTGTCAAAGAAAGCCAGAACCAGAAGTTAATTTGTTACCTGTTTAGGCAAGTCTAATTTGAGAACTATTGCAATGGGGGAAAGAGACATGGTATACAATCGGGCTTCATTCCAAATACAAGGACAAGTGGGGATTTATAGCCAAGGAGTAGGGTGGATGTCAATGGATGGAAAATTACTAACAGGGGTAAGAGGGATTCTGGTGAAACCAGCTTACTGAAGGCTGGACATAGTGATAAGTTTGAAGGCGGGATAAGGAATTTTTGAGCGTGGGGGTTTTCCCCTAAAAGGACTCAGCAGAATTCTTGTTAAAACTGCGGTAAGAACCAAGGAATGCCCAAGAGGTAAGCCTAATCAAAAGAGATCTTATAGGAGCATGAGTGTTGGGAATCTTTATCAACAGCAATTACTATAAAATAAAACAAAGGTAATTCTAATCTATGCTTGGGTAGTTGAAAATTTCAACCTTATTCTCATAGCAGTTATACTTCATTTAGATTTTTTTTTTCTTGATCTTCTTTTTAGTAGTAACCTGATGCTTCAGTAAACATTTTGCGAAATTTCTTTTCTCCTTTAGATGTTTACTAAAGAGTTGGAGGAAGGAATAGAGCTAGATTAGGGTAAAGCAGAAATTTGTACCATGGCTCCAAAGGGAGACAAGTTTAGACCGAATAATTCTAGTATTGAAACAAACTTCAATAAATAGTAAAGGTCTACTGTGTTGTAGGCAGTGTTCTAGTTGGTAGGGATATAGTAGTGAATAAGGCAGACAAGGGGTTCTGTTCTTTTCACTGTGTTCCTCCTTCATGCCAGACATAAGGGATATAACATTAAACAAGTAACATTCCTTTGCCCCCAATGATTTTACTGTTCAGTGGAAGAAGATAACAAGTGAATAATTATAGTACAGAGTTGAGGGTGCTGTGGTCAAAGAATATACTACACCAATAAGTAAACAAGTTAGTTTCATATAGTGATAAGCAATACAAAGAAAATAAAAGGATATAATATTGAATTGTGGAAGACTTTATGACAGGAGGTTTAAGCTAAAATTGTCATTAATTTTGTTTTTGGTCCTTCTCAGATTTAAGTTCTAGTAATCCAGGCAGAGAAAGAGCAAATACAAAGACCCAAAGAAAATCAGCAGGATTAAGACAATGTAGGTAGTGGGATGTTAATTCCTGTTAAAAGTGATTTCAAGGTTTGTGTTTGTTTGTTTGTTTATTGAGATAATATCAGTTTACAAAACTGGAGGATTCAGAGTTAAACAATCACAGATCACACCTCTTCTGGTGAATGTTATCCTGAGACACCCATCACCAAGGCACCCATAGTCCCCCATGATAGTCTATTCCTCCCCCGCACCCTTTGCTCTCTACCCTCCTTTTCCCCTTCTGGTAGCATGAGTTTTATAGATTTTTAGGCTTGGTTTTGGTTTGGTTTTACCTGACCTTTTGTTTTGCTTCTTTATAGTCTACATATGAATGAAACCATGCATTTTTCTTTCCCCATTTGACATAATTTGTTTAATACAGTCACCTCCAGTTCCAACTTGTTGCAAATGGCAAGTTTCCACTTGAGCAATTGGCTCAATTACCATTTTAATAGTAAATTTTCAGATGAGGAAGACTGAGATAATTTGAGGGAAATCAGGGGAAATAAAAGATGCCTATTTAAGTAGCTTCTGGGTCTGGAACTTTATAGTAGGGTGTGTGTTTATGTGTCTGTGTATGTGGGAGGGAGAGAGAGATTGATTATCCCTTTCCCACCTTCCTTCTCTCTTTTTCACTCTACCTGGGTCTTTCCAAATGTCAACCCCTCTGGGTAGCCAGAAATTTTTCTTGTTGATCAAAGGCTCTTATAGTGATTATTATAAAAGAAACCTGGGCTCTAGAAACATGCAGTTACTTCAGCTACATATATTGTTAAGGCAGTCACAGAGCCCACCCAGCTTCAAGTGGACATAGACTTCACCTCTTGATGGGAAGTGTATCAAAGAATTTGTAGAAATGTTTTAAACCATCACATTGCAGAGTCAACCATAAATTCATTATTTTTGAAGGTTAGTAATGTCTCCTTTTCATAATATTGTTAGACTATAGCTTATCTTTGGAATTATTAATCATATAATACATTTCATCTTTATTTAAAATTAAATTAAAAAAATTAAATTTATAAAATTGCAAACCATTTATTTATGCTGGAATGGTGAGTCCAAAAGTCTTCATGTGACTTCATCACAGATACCTCACTGAATCCTGAATATATCCTATAATGTGTATAACACATATAACCTATCAAATGAAATAAGATTGAAAACAGTAGAGTTTTCCATACTTTTGAAGTTGTTCAGAGTTGTGTAATCTTACACTTAAAGGACAAAAGAAGGGGTTTCATTGTGGTTGTTTGCTAGAATGAGTCTTAAATCGGTTGAATAGTAAAATAAAAATTTCCAGTGGCTGAAAATCTGAGTTTATGCCTTGTATATTTTATTTTGGGAACAGCAATATATTTTTTTAAAGATATATTTTATTGATTTACTTACTAACTTATTTTTTATTTTATTTATGCAAGAGCCAGGGTACAGTCTAGATGCGCGGGAGGGTGAAAGGATTCACCAGAGACAGAGTGGGGAACAGAACAGGCAGACTGATGAAATACACTGCTAAGGGGAGCAGCGGGCAAGACAGGAGAGGTCTGCTCGCCATGTGGATTGCTCCGAGGCCGCCGGGGATCGAACCGGCACTGCAGAGGCTGCACACAGCTTCATAGTGCTGCGCTTAACCGCCTTCACCACCAGGGAGGCCCCTATTTATTTATTTTATACAAGAACTGGGGTACAGGCCAGATGCATGGCCTTGCCGGCCGGCTGCAATCAAACAAACACTGCAGAGGCTGCGGATAGCTTCACAGTGCTTGGCTCAACTGCCTGCACCACCAGGGGCGGCCCAGCAATATTTTTTAAGTTAAGTGGAATTTTAGAATTTATTCCTTTTAATTAGCTTCTGCTAGAAGGGGGAAAATAGGACTTTTTAAACAATATAAATGAATTTAACACCTCAAAATGTGTAATTATTATCCTGACTATATGTGACTTACCTTGGAAACTTTTAGAACAAACCTATGTCTAAGTTATACGCTCAGATATTCTTAGTTGACTTTGGGTAGGGTCCACATACAGCTATCTTTTACAGTTCTCCAGGAGATTCTATTATGAAGCCAGATTTGAGACCGTATTGGTCTTTATCCAGTTGATATTTGCCAGTGCTAACTTGGTCTCTCTTAACAGGAAAAAAATGGAAGACCTGTCTGATGCTGCCGCTTTTGCGACTAGACTTAAAAACACTCTTATCCAGTACCATAGCATTGAAGATGATAAATGGCGAGTTGCTAAGAAAACGGTAAATTAGTTAAATTTCTTTTTTTTTTTTTAAGATTTATTTTTATACAAGAACCGGGGTACAGGCCAGATGCACAGGAGGGTGAGAGGATTCAACAGAGACAGAGTGTGGGGCAGAATAGGCAGACTGAGGAAATACACTGCCAAGGGGAGTAGCAGGCAAGACAGGAGAGGTTTGCTTCGCCATGTGGGAATCTGCCTGGCTGGCTGGGATTGAATCTGCCCTGCAGAGGCTGTGGACCGCTTCACAATATGGCGCTCAACCAGGGAGGCCCTAGTTAAATTTCTTTTACTGGGGTGTATCTTCTGTCTAATGAATTGGTTGATAACTTTCAAAAGGGTATAGGAAAATAGAGCCATACTTTAGGTGGATTTGCAGGATAAATAATGCTGATAAAGTCCGTGGTTTAGTGTCTTACAAGGGAAGAAACGTAGTAATCCTTCACTGCTGTCATTAGGTTTTGGACATGAAACTAGTCTACTGGCCACCAGAACCTAAAGAATAACTTTGCATGTAAACAAAGCATACTGTTCTCAATTGAAGAAAGTATAATTATTAGTAGCTTGAAATAGTTTCAGATATTTCACCAAGTTTGTGAGGGTGGTTAGTAGTCTTTTTTATCAGTATGATTTGTTCAAACCATTGCATGGTTGAGTTTTGACAGAACCAACCCTAGGATCCAGGACTCTTCTAGTTAAGTGTTTTAACTGTTCGAATACTCACAATTTCTTGAGAAATAATAGAGGGAAAGTGTAGGAACTAATTCAAGGTAACACTATCATAGTAGGTGTAAATTGTTTAATTTTAAGGGAAAATCTGAGCAAGTTCAGAATGATATATTTAGCATTCATAATGTCTTAACCTGAATGTGTCAGTAATGGTAAATAGTTAAAATTGGTTTGAAGTAAATGATTAGATAATGTCATCACTGTTCTTAGATAATGCCATCACTGTTCTTAACAGTATGGTATAAATTACTTGTCTCTTTGAAATTTTACTTGTTTTTTTTTTAATGCAAAGACCAGTGATATCACCTTACCAGTTTTATATCCAGGGTTTCAACTGTGAAATTATTTCTGTATCTTTATTTTTCTAGAAAGATGTCACAATTTGGAGAAAACCTTCAGAAGAATTTAATGGATATCTGTAAGTAAATTCTTTTAGTTTTACATAGCTCAAAAAAATATAACTAAACTTGTCTCTCCCTGGTGGGCTAGGGGTTAGGTCTCAACACTATCACCACTACAGCCTGAGTTCATCCCTGGCCAGGGAGCTGACCCACATGGCACAACAGACCTCTCCTGTCTTGCTTGCTGCTCCCCTTAGCAGTATCTTTCAGTGGACCCGCCTGTTCTGCTCCCCACTCTGTCTCTGGTGAATCCTCTTACCTATTGCACCTCTGGCCTACACCCCAATTCTTCAGTAAATAAATAAATAAAATCCTTAAAATATATATATATAAAACTAAACTTTATAGACATATTTATGGATATGGATATATGTGTGTATATAAATATATATCTGTATACATGATCATTAAATGATAATTGGCAGTAAAATGTGACTTTTGCTTTAAAAATTTTAAGCTTCCTGAGAATCACATCCTTATAAATTCAAAGTCTGAAAAATGGCCATGCGTCTTATAGACATAGTTGTTGATATGGGAAGATGATAATAATGATATCAAATCTTAATTTCTTAGGATGATATATAAGATCTTGTTTTTTTCTTTCACACTTAGTACTGTAGCATATTTTATTCTAAGAATTTATCTTGACAAATCATTAAAAGTGGTTATTTAAGTACCTGTTTCTTCTATTATAGCATATAATACTTATAATATTGTATAAAACTTATAATATTTTAGTACTCAAAATCATATGCAACCTGAGTAATAAAAAGTTGAAAAATTATGAAATTATGAAACTTATATTTTATAGTCTTTACAAATCATCTTTTCAAATATTATCTAAAAACATAAGAAAATCCCCAAGATATAATATGAACAAAACAGGATATTAAATTAGCTATAGCAGAATTACAGATTGGTTTTAAATATTTGTTTTTATATATTAATATGTTTTTATCTAACAATTGGATATCTCTAAATTGCAGTTTTTATGTTCTCTGTTCTTTTTGGTAGTGGAACGTGAATTATTTCTTTAATCAGAAAAATAGTTATTTTGTAATCTCTTTAATTTTTTTTTTGCAGTAACAATTCACAACACTGTATATGATTTAGGGGGTTAGACTTACTCCTCGTTGGAGGTATGTTACTAAACCACACCACCAAAGCATCCATAATCTTCCACCAGAGTCCATTAGACCACTTCTTCCTTTACTCTCTACCCTTCTCCCACCCCTCTGGTAGCATCAGTTCTTAAGTCAGATTTGTAGGGTTTGTTTTGATTTAGTTAAAAAATATTATGTTTTAAAGTCAGTGGATTCATTTACCATAGTAACTGCTGAGCTAAAGCCAGCCCTAATACTAAGTAAAATAAGTCAGAAGGAGAAAGATAAATACCAGATGGTGTCACTGGTATGCTCAATATAATGTGACTCCATTCAGAGTCAGATGTAAACAAGCTGAAAACCACCCCTGACAGCTGACTGCAGAGCTGAGCACTGCAAGGAGAGGAGGGTGGGGAGGAAAAGCAGCACAGTAATCTGTGGTGGTGGGCTCTGGATGAGCTGGTTTCAGGAACACTATGTTACCTGAGGGGGGCATCCACATATTACTTCAGTTGAAAAAAAAGTCAGTAGAGACAATTTCCTCGTGTAATTGGAGTGGAATATTAACAGCCTTGGAACCTGGCTCTTTTTAAACTAAAATTGTTGGCCCCATATATCATATAAAGATGTTCTGAAGTGTAATACCAAAGATTACATTTCCAGAAAGATGAGTTGTACAATATTTATGACAAGGACAGGGAAACTGGACTTGGAGTAAGCCTTGTAAGCAATTATGGAAGTTAATCTGCTAGATAGTAATTTCCAGCTGATGTTGAAAAGTATGAAAAGTGCCAAGGGAACACTATGCTAATACATGGACCACAGATGTGTGTGTGCTCATGTAGTAATTTGCTTGTATTTGTTTTCATTGAGTATAATGTGTTAGCCATGGAGTTGTATGTTCTTTTGTTCTTCTGTATGAACTTAACTGCAGTATGTTTCTCTGTGTTTGCAAACTTGTTTGCTGATAAACTTTTCAGTTGTTATCAGTTCATCTCTGAAAAGTACTATGGTAAACTTTTTGGTACATGTTTCCTCTTACCCACATATGTGATTTACTTCAGGTATATCCCTGGTTTTAGGAATAGACATCATCCAGTTTCACTAGACATTACCTAATGTCTCTCTAAAATAGTTGTAACAGTATGAGAGTCCTCTTTACCCTCCATGTATTATAGTACTGATTACTAGGTTTTAATCTCTGCCAACCTCAGGGGTTAAGATGGCATTTTGTTAGTATTTACTTGTTGCTAGTGAAGTCGAGCAACTTTTCTATAATGATTGACATTGCAGGAAAATATCAGTATATCCCTTGCTCATCTTTTCTTTTCATTGTTTGTCCTTCTCATTGACTTGTAAAAATTAATCATATATCCCAAGCCTTAATCATATGTCTGTTCATATGTATTACACACAAAGTCTCCCAGAATATGACTGTTGTATGCAAATTTTAAATTTTAATCATTTTGTATTAGTTGTGTTTCATGTTTTATAGATTCAAGAAATTCTTATTTCCTAGGTTACAAAGATTGTCACTTACATATATTTTTTCAGTGTATTAAAGTTTTCCATTGTGGTCTTTAATATATATGGAATTAATTGTTTTGAATGGTAGGAATTTAATTTTTATTTTTTCCATAAGGATAACTTGAATCCAAGCATCATTTATGGACTAGTATATCCTTTCCCCTTTGATGTGTAATGCCACCTTTGAAATATGTTGTTATTAAATTATTTAGGGCCTCCCTGGTGGTGCAGCGGTTGAGTGCTGGGCTGCGAAGCTGCCCACAGCCTCTGCAGTGCCAGTTCAATCCCCGGCCACCAGCGAGGGTTCCACATGGTGTGCAGACTTCTCCTGCTGCCCACTGCTCCCCTCAGTAGTGTATTTCATCATTCTGCCTCTTCTGTTCCCCGCTCTGTCTCTGGTGAATTCTCTTGCCCTCCCGTGCTTCTGACTGTACCTAGTGCTTGTATAAATAAATAAATATATCTTTAAAAAAAATTATTTATGAGTCAATTCCAAGGTATTCTATTTCTAGGTGATCTGTTTGTTTGTTTTTCTGTGCCTAATACAAAGTTTTTAAAAGGGTAAAACATTTTTTATATAAATAAATAAAATAAAAAATAAATAAAAAAACAAAATTAACAAGCAACTATAAATCAGAGACATTCTGCAGGGGAGGGAAGAGCACATGCTTGAATTGGTGGTGGAAATTCTATGGGATGTAGATGTACACCTGAGAGGAGAAAGCAAACATTGTATAAAAATGGACAATAATGTAAAATCTATATAAATGAATTACAAAGAAAGGAAAGAAAAATAAATTTGAGCAGAAGAAAAATAAAAAGGGTAAAATATGTATATACTAATAACACGTTAGAGTATAATCAAGAAAAGAATAGCATGAAAAATAAATGATACAATCTCTTACATGCTGTTTTGGCTGTACCCATAATTTGAAGGCTCTTTACTGTGTTCATTACAACGTATAATATACTCTTCAGCTCTCTTATTAGATTTAAGGACAAATGGTACATGCTGATATGATACTTGATAAAACTTAATAAATCAGAATTGTTGAGATTTACTCTCCTTAAAAAAAATCTTCAATGTTGATCTTTTTGAAGTGAGCTAAGTTATGAGGGCATGCCGACATTTTTCATGCTAATAGCATTTCATTTTAATATTTTTTCTCCAGCTTTAAAGCCCAAGGTATCGTAGATGATGTTGTAAATAGTGTCATAAACCATATACGCCCAGGGCCCTGTCGTGTGGATTGGGACAGCTTAATGACTTCCTTGGATATTTTAGAGCAATTTGAAGAGGTATTTTCTTGGAATCAGTACTTCAAAGTGTGTGTGTGTGTGTGTGTGTTTCTGTGTGTGAAAGAGAGTATGTGAGTATGAACACATGCATTTACTTATATTCATTGTATTCATTGCTTTGAGAGTAAGTAGTCATGACAGAGGTCTCACAGGGGAATCGTTGTACATTTTAAGAAGCATGAGTCTCTTCATATTAACTAATGACTGCGAGTCAGACCTGAGTTTGTTTTCCACAGTAGTTACACCCTTGCTGCTTAAAAAAAATTTACCAGAATCTATAATTGTAAAACTGTAGTTGAGGTTTTAAAATTTAAAATTCCAAAAACATCACCTCAACCATCATATTTAAATTTCTAGGCAGATGTATGTAGGTTTTCCATTAATAGTAAACCAAAAGCAAAATCTAAATATGACAATGTTAACTGAAGACATTAGTGAATTATATCACTAAAGTGACTTGTTTTCTTTGTCTATCAATTTGTTTATTACCATGTTTGAATTTCTTCATTGAAACATCTGGTGTTTTAATCAAAGTATTTGTGGATTTTATCTTAAATATCTATAATCTGCACTACCAGCTTCCATGTTGAATGTCATATTAGATAAAAGACAGCTGTATTGAATTAGACATTTTGGATGCTGTGCAACTTCTCTGTGCTTTGATTATATGTATTATCTTCATGTCTTTATGGTAGTAGTGAGACATAGAATAGAAATATAAATCTTTCAGAATTACCATAAAAATTATTAACTATAATTATTGCACATTTTAAATGCCTACTAGTTTCTTACAAAAGATTAACATAATAATTGAGTCTATCTGTTTAGTAGTAACACCTATTATCCATTCTCTTTCAGAATTGTTGTGTGATGCGTTATACTACTGCTGGTCAGCTTTGGAATATAATTTCTCCAAGAGAGTTTGTTGATTTCTCCTATACTGTGGGCTATAAAGAGGGACTTTTATCCTGTGGTAATAATCTCAAAATTTTATGCTTTCTTCCATTTTGTTTTAAGTATTTGAAATTTCTTAGCTGGATGTTTCTTTCTATGTAAGATATATATTTTAACCTTCATTCTATAGTCACTGAGCTTTGTAAATGCTACACCCTAGGAATTAGAATGACAATATGAGGAAGGGTTTTGAAATACTTCTGACAAGTGTTTGTTCCCAATTTAGATGATAGCAAATAAATATGGATCTCATGACTGCCTCTAGGAAAAGGATCCAATAAATGGATTTCCTTCTAAGGGACACTAGAAAACAGTTTTTGGTCATATGAATAGGAAAATATAGACTTGGTTTGTGTGAAAATATTTTCCCTTTCTTGAGCTGAGAATTTTTTTTCTTTTTAAGACTAAAAATATTGTTGTTAGGGGCTCCTGATTTCTAAAATATCTATTTCTAAAATATCTATCGGGCCTCCCCAGTGGTGCAGTGGGTTGAGTGCCACACTGTGAAGCTGTCTGTAGCCTCTGCAGCGCGGGTTCAATTCCCGGCCGGCCAGGGAGAAACCCACATGGTGCCGCAGACCTCTCCTGCCTACTGGCTGCTCCCCTCAGCAGTGTCTTCAGTCCATCTGCCTGTTCTGCTCCCCGCTCTCTGGTGAATTCTCTCACCTTCCCATGCCTCTGACTGTACCCCAGTTCTTATATAAATAAATCTTTTAAAAAAATCTAGGTAGATAGATATAAAATGAAATATAGCTAAATTAATATTTTTATATATATAGTATATACTTGAGTTTGCAGTTATAGGTAAATCGCTCCTTGTTTATTCTTAACTAGCCAGTGCCAAAGTTGGATATGGTATAGCCTATGGGGAGTAGTGATAGTGCCTTAGGTTTGATTATTGGCACCTGGAGGCTTCTCTGCTGCAGCCAAGATTTGTAGTTTCCAAGGAGTTACCAAGATGACATGATGTCATCTATACTGAAGGGATTCAAACTTTCCCCATTACCTATCTACTGCCTCCTGTCAGAATTCTACTTGGCAATTATCTTTTTAATTCTTGCATAGTCACTCTTGGAGCTTAATGTTCATCTACATGCACTAGAAGGAAGATATTTAAATAAGAAATCTGGTATCTTCAGTGAGCTTTAGACTACTGTCAGTTATTGTTATTAAAATACTATTTTTAAATTGTGTTCTAGGCATAAGTCTTGACTGGAATGAAAACAGACCGGAATTTGTGCGTGGCTTTAACTATCCCTGTGGCTGGTTTTGTGTACCACTTAAAGACAATCCAAACCAGAGTCTTTTAACAGGCTATATTCAGACAGATCTACGTGGGATGGTTCCTCAGTCTGCAGTGGATACAGCCATGGCAAGCACTTTAATCAGCTTCTATGATGATTTACGAAAAACCTTACAAAAGGCGTAATACATCAAACTTGTATTTAGCTATAAAAAAAATCATCCTTTCCTCTCTTCTCATAGCCTCTAGAAAAATTTGGGATGTTTTTGATTTATTTTATCCTAAAGTAAGTAGCTATATAAGAGAGGGCATTTCAGTTTTGCAAACATTTATTTGCACATTGTTTTGTATGGCATTGTGTCCAGGAATGGAGAGTATGACAGAAATCACAAGGAGTAGATATAGTTCTGTAACACAAACACGTAAGAACTTGAATAGTGCCTCGGTATGAATATTTTGGCTGCTGGGAAATTAGAGAAAATACAGCTTCATTCTTTGGGGTTAAGTAATCTACTTAGCTTTATAAACATTTTGTAAATATTTTAATTTTCTTGGAGGGTATTAGTGCTCTACTTGTGGTATGCTCTATGAGTTTGCCAATATCTTAAACTGAGAAAGAAATCTCTACTCTATATTTTATAAAAATAAATTTCATTGTCCATTGAGTTATACTACTTTAAGTATTGAAAAGACCAGGAATAAGAACAGAATAGATATTATAGTAATTTCAGGTACAATTCAAATGCAACTCAGATTTGATACCTAGAAAGAATTATTTTGTGAATATATTTTTAAAATATATTTGTATCTTTTGTGAATTTAATTTGAGAGTCTTAAGAGCATTTATGCATGAATAAGACTGTATGGAAAATGGCCAAATATGTGCTGGAGTCACCACATTGATTATGATGTAGTCTGGGTTGTGTAAAAGGAAAATAATCACTTTAGAAAATCACATTCAATGACTGTTCTATGCATGTGTCAGTTTTAAAGGTATCTCTCAATTTGCAAAATATCACTACCTACTTCATAAACTTTCACAATTGTTTTATAATTTCAGTCTGGAATTATAAAAATGCACTTGTAGATGTATCCAAATGCCTAACTAGAGTGAGTCTTTTCTTACTAGAATGGACTCATAATAAGTCCTCTGATTCTATGGCTGCCTTAAATGAACATTCCTAAATGATTTTATCATTCCGAGAATTCTCTTGACTTTTGAACTAACCACCCGGTTTACCTCTAAAATGAGAACTTGAGGCAATGGTATGTGTATGCAAATTTTTGTAGGGATTTATGTTGGTGTACATACATACATATTGAAATTTGTTTCAATGTTCTATGTGAGTTCATTTTGTGTTAATCAATATTATTGGTTTTCCATTGATTTTTTTTTTGTTAATATGGGTGAAAGTGATATTTATGTGTTGAGCTACAAAAAGCACAAGAATGCATCATGATCAAGTGCATGAAAATAACTTATTTCAAGAACTGACAATGTACAAATTATATTATATTCTTACCTTGCCAATAGCCTTTTCTGAATTGACTATAACTTTTGAGTTGCTGGATTTCTCTGCTGCTTTTTTTTCTTTTGCAATAGGGAAAGAAAACTTGGTAGTTTAGCTTTCAGTTTCCCATTGAAATTGTTAAATGTTGATTTTGACTTCATATATATTTTTCAATTGATCTTATTAGGGTGGTATTGGAGTTCTCTTATATTCCAGTATTTGTTTAGAATGGTGAAATACCAGCAGATGCCCAAATAGAGGGTAATCAGATTGAGTAAAGAATTTCTGACAAAGTTTTGCATTATACAAGGGCTGTTGTTGCCTAAGCTGGGTGCCCCTAAAGGCAAATAAATTGTCTAACTTAGTACTCTAATGCTCCCTTTGTCATTTTCAAACTGTACCTCCAATTAATGATTACATATACACTGTTGAATGTAACCCACTACAGGTAAAATGGACATTATGGGGAAAAAAAATCTCTGTTGCACTATTAAGTCACATTAAAAAATATATTTGAATTACCTGAAATTTATATGCAGCTTTAGATGGCTATTTAGATGTGCTGAACTATAGTGTGTACTTTAAAATTCAACAAAGCAAAAAACAACCCAGCTTTACTGAGGTATAATTTACATGCTGTACATCTTACTAGTTGTAAGTATACAATCCAGTTACTCCTGAATACATGTATAGTTATACAGCCATCACTACAATCCAGTTTTAGAAAATTTCTATTACCCAATTAGATCCAGTTGCCTGTTTGCAATCATACTTAACCAAAGTTTAGCACACTTGCCAGTATATAGCACATGAAGAAAATGATTAGAGTAGGTTTTATTTGGTTTTGTTTTTAAGAATAAAAATATATTTGATTCTAAGCTCAGGAACCTTGTATATTATAATATATATTAAGTATATTGTCTCAAATACCATACTGATAGAAAACTTTAACAGTGTGATTTGGGATTAATATTAATATGTAATTGAGTCAGCTACTTCTCCAGCAGTGCTGAATAATAGAAAAATAATATGAGCCTTTTGTGCACTTTTTAATTTTCTAGCAGTCACATTAAAAATAAGTATCTTAAGTTAATTTGAATATGTCAATTTAACTTAATATATATAAGATATTACATTTCAACATGTAATCAATGTAAAAAATCATTAAGATTGCTTGCATTCTTTTTTGTACTAATTCTTTGAAATCTATGTATTTGACTAATTTAGGGTAACCACATTTTAAGTGTTCATTATTCACATGAAGCCAGTGTATGTATTAATAGCACAGTTCTATACTATATGTATTGTCTTTCTATAATATGAAGTAAAGAATTTTATGGGATTACTTTTTTTTTTTTTTAAGATTTATTTTTATTTATTTATACAAGCACTGGGTACAGTCAGAAGCGCGGGATGGGGAGAGAATTCACCAGAGCCAGAGCGGGGAGCGGAACAGGCAGAAGGACCGAAGTACAATGCTGAGGGGAGAAGCAGGCAGGCAAGAGAGGTCTGCACGCCATGTGGGACCCTCGCCGGCGGCTGAGGATCGAACCGGTGCTGCAGAGGCTCGCAACCCAGTGCTCAACCACTGCGCCACCGGGGAGGCCCGGTATTACTCTTTTAAATGCAAAATATCTTCTCTGGAGCCTTCCATGCTGCCTAAACTAAACAGAAATATATCAGTAGTTATCAATAAAATTAAAGTTATAACCAAAAATACTTTCCTTTAAAGATAATTTACTTTTCATAAGGCAGTTAAATCAAGTCAAAGATTATAATCTACCTTATTTTATGTACTTGATTATTTTCTCCTACTGATAGCTAGTGTGTATCAAAAACTCACATACGCACTAAGTATGTGGCAGGGTACTCTTTTCAGTACATTGAGTTTTCTTTTTTTAAGGCGATCAGTTTCTCACAAGATAAAGTATCATCAGTTATACTTTTTTTTATTTATTTATTTATTTATTTGTTCGTTTGTTTCGTTTATACATGCACTGGGTACAGTCAGAAGCACAGGAGGGTGAGAGAATTCACCAGAGCCAGAGCGGGGAGCAGAGCAGGCAGAAGGACCGAAGTACACTGGTGAGGGGAGCAGCGGGCGGCAGGAGAGGTCTGCGCGCCATGTGGGACCCTCCTCCGGTGGCCGGGGAGCAGCCGGGGATCGAACCGGCGCCGCAGAGGCTGCGGGCAGCTTCGCAACCCAGTGCTCAACCGCTGCGCCACCGGGGAGGCCCCATCAGTTATACTTTTGCATGAAATATTAATTCATATTGATAACTCATATACTGAGTAAATAGGAAAATGTATTATCCTACAGTTATATGTAACTGCTAGAATAGAGTAGATTGTAAATGTTAAAAATCTTTACATCCATGTTCACTGAGGTTGTCTATATTTGAAATTGTAGATTTCTCTTTAGATTATCTCCCAGTGAAAAGAAGTTTTTTTCTTTCTACCCCTGCTTTCCTTCCTAACTGAAAGACATAACACTCAGCTTGAGTTATATTAACATCTTAAGTTAAAATGTCTGATTCAGTTTGCCTCTGGAGAAGGTAAGAAAATATTGCACAATTTAAGCCTCTAATTGTCCTTTTAGCTTTTAGGTATGAGTAATTCCCTTTGCTGTAGATAAAAACTTTTATATTCAAGAGCCCACTAGCATCCTTAGAATTAGTTGTTTAAATCCAATTTCTTTCAAATAAGTGGATATTGTAGCTATATCCCAACTCTATGGATAAGATAATGAGACCCAGAGAGGTCAAAGGATTTGGCCAGATTTCCATGAGGTCAAGAAAAATTCACATGTGTAGTTTTACATGTATAGTTAAAAATTTACCTCAACAAAAGTTTTTCTGTATATACATTTTTTAGTTTATAATTTGTATAGGTCAATATGTATAACAACATTTCTTAAACTAATAAGAGCATGTTAATATAAATAAAATGCATATTTATTTTTAAATTACTTACATTTAATCACTGATAATGTCTTAGTAAGTTTTTTCTCTAGCATTTCCCTTAATTCCCTCCATTGAGAAGTCATTGTTAGTATGTCTTCTCAACAAAACCAGCATTTTGGACCTAAAGTAGGTAGTAGCAAGCTGCAATTCTGAGGGTAAGCTCTGTTGTTACTTTACCTACTTCCCCCTCAAACATTTCACACAATTGTTTCCTAAGTGAGTGAGTGGCCAAGCTCTAAGGCTTTCAGATCTTTTTACAACTATGTGCTGCTGACAGCTTCTTAAAGGTGAGCATACAGTTTTTCTTTATTCCCATTCCTGGATCCTATAGGTTTGGAAACATAAAGTGATCACTAAACATCATCTGATCCAACAACAGTTCCATGAGGAAAGAAAGATCATTGAGAATGGATTGTTTGCAGCTATCATAAAAATGAAGATTTTATTAAAATGCTTGTGCTCTAGTGATAGGCTGATACAAGAAAAGGTACACTATGATTACAAGTTTATAAAAAAAATCTAATGCTGGAAATACGCAATGATTTTCTTTCTAAGGTGTTATGTTCATTTCATTTGCTTTCACATTTTTATAATAAAAAATATATTACTTGCTACAGTTCCCTTGCCCCAGTAAAATGGCTTTCCTGTGGTGAAAACACTGAGGTAGGATATGGCAACCAGATCTGTTCTCTTATGGGCCTGTGACTTCAGCTATAAGGCATTATCTTTCTGGCTGTCACTTTAATAAAATGAGCTTGCTCGATTAAATAATTACCCAAGTCCCCTTTTAACTCTAATGATTTCATGATTTTTGTGATGTTACTATATATGTTAAAAATGCTATGAAACTGAAAGTATAAGTTATTGAGAGTGGGAAACATTCAAGAAATGATTCAATTTCGTATTTCAGATGTAAGGAAAATGTTCTTTGTGTCATTCTTGTAGTATGTAGTAACATTTGTGAATTGTAGTAACATTCAGATCACAGAATGCAAAGTTTTAGTGGGCTCTTTGATGATTTATTGTCATTTTGTACATGCAGATCGCTTTACAGATTTCCCACCAGCAAGGTACATGTTTCTTTTGGCATGTTCTAATACATCTGAGTGAATTTACACAAATAATATTGGCCTCCACTAAGGTCAATTTCAACAGTCCGTATCCATTTTACCTTGTCACATATTCTCCCTTCCTGTTCCCTGGAACACACAAAAAAATAAGCATATGTAGCCATTTAATCAGGTTGTCCAACCTGAGACCAGGAAGAAACCACAATGTCTGAGGCTCTCACATTGTCTGCCTCAGACTTTGGGTAGCTGAGAATGCCAATAACTGTTTGTCCCATCCTTAGGAAATCAAGAATCACAGCAGTTGCCACTGAAGAATATGGTAACTCAACCAAAAGCAAATGGGCATGATTTTGATGAGTTCTTTACAAACATTTTCTGTATTTACATTTGTGGCCAGGTCAGACTTACATATTTACCTAAAAAATATTGTAATACATCTTTGTATGAAGGAGTCAATAGCACCATTTTGACAGGTTTTAAAAAATGAAACATTAATAGCTTCTTTTTCAGTGCTTTCAATCAACTCTTGGAAAGGTAGCCTATACTCTTGTCTGTGTAAACTGAAATTTTATTTTTATCTTTGTCCTCCAGATCCTGCATGCACTTGTTTTTGGTTAATGACCTGCAGCCTAAAAGTATTGGACACACAGATTTCCTGTATTTAACAGTATTAATCTATTCCATGCTGCTTTTGAACTGTGTATGTCCCAGTAGTCTAGAAAACTTTTGACAGCCCAGGAATACAAATTTCTCCTCTAAGAAAAAACTAGAAAAGATATATCAGATAATATATCACATAAGCCTGAAAAATCCTAGTAGGAAATTATTCTTTCTCATTACCTACTAACTTGTGTTTCTGTGTCTGTGTTTTCTAAAACTACACATTAACTTTCCTTCCACTAAAATAATAGTTAATTTGTACAAAGAAGAATGTGTAAAGTGGCAAAAGAATGAGGAAGAAAGAAATTGGGAAGGTCAGCTTGATGTTTGGGGACAGCTGTTCTGAAATGTTAAATTTATTTGGACTTAGTTTTGTACAAGTTAACTTTTGAAGCCTAAACTTTGAGGTATGATTCTACCTCAAGCCCCTGTGGGGATTGCCTTTTCTGCTTAGATAACTAAAGGATAACAGAAACCTTGAGTGGCTACTATTGGCAAAGCTTTGGCAATTAGGTAATTTTCTAGGGAGCTTTTCAGACCTAGTCAATGTAATATTTGCTTTCAGTAACTGAGGCTTTGCTTCAATTTATGACTTTGCAAAATAATATGTTGAGTGATTATTACTCCTCTTAGGGATGCATCACACCACATTGGCTAAGTATGTAGAAGATCACAGAAAACTAGCTGCTCTGAGGCTGCAGTGTCTACCCAAAGTAAGAGTGAGGAGATCTAATTTAACTAGCACAAGATCTGAACCTCATCTGCAGACTTTCCTTCTTCCTACCTGCAAAAATTCCCATAATCCTGGTTTTAAATCACCTCTGATGCCCCCATTGCACATAATAATGGGAAAAATGGGTTCCTGAAATGGGCTTTTCTGGAAGCTTCAAAATTAGCATAAAATATTGATCAAGTGTGTTTGCAATGTAGGTCTATTATCTCCTAGAGTATGCTGTTTTTATGGTTCCAGGAAGAAAATTATTTACTTTGGTCTATTCACTTCTAACATATTGAAGTCCATTCACGACTGTCCTCAGATTTTGAGCAATCAAGAAAAACGAGCAGGTGGAAATGTGGACCTAATCTATATATCATCTCCGATTCCAGTAAAGTTTCTCTCCTATAGAGAACACTCTGAGGAGTTAGCAGACATGCATCTCTTTGGTTCCTGAGTTTTGTAGTGTAGCCAAGTAGCCACATTGTATTATTTGCTGCAACAGTTTAAAGAAAACTGTATAATGTTTAATTAGGTCCATGATATGAGTTTAGGTATGTATAATAAACTGATAGTGAGTTTTCTACTGAATATTCATTTGTAACATTATGGTCACAGATGTTCAAAATCAAACATAAAGGTCATGCATGCCTACGTTTCTCAATATCTGGGTCATCTGCTTCCTTTAAGGCAGATATCTTTGAATGAATAATTTCTCTGACAGAAATAGACTAAAAAAAGGGCCCTTCCTGGATTCTAAATATGTAAGAAGAGAAAATTTACTCAAGACCTTCTTTTTTCAATGAAATCCATAGTGCTGTAGAGAGCACGGGGGTCAGAAAAGTCGCCCTTACAGAATAGCTCATTCCCTGAGCTACTTAATCAGCAAAACAGTCATCAAATACCACAAAGTACATTACTTTCTAAAAAATGATTACATGAAATCCAACTGATATAAATTACTTGAGAATATTCTGAAGGATTCACAAAGGGGTTCTCTTCTATCTTAGCTTTTTAAGTAACAGCTGCAATTGATTTAAAATGTGAGCAAATACTGGTGCCAGGTGTTATTTGCATGATTTTAAATACAAGAATTACATTTCTAAAGCTTCCTCAAAGTCATGCAAAGTCATTCGTAAGCAAGTCAATTTATACTTTTATTTTTTTATGAAGGATGCATTTTGAATTTTTAGTTTTGTAGGGAAATTTTACTGTCAAGTTATATACATCCAGCATAATTATTGTTGTGAGACTATCTACAGCAGAATGCAACTTTCCTAACTTCATAAGAAGAAAAGGGAGTGGGCTATGTGTGTCTGTGGTGGCGCAACCTATGAAGCAATCCTCAGCCACTGCAGCACGAGTTCGATTCCTGACCAGCCAGGGAGCAGCCCACAAGGCGCAGCAGACCTTTCCTGACTTGCCCCTTTGCTCCCCCCAGCAGTGTGCTTAAGTCAATCTGCCTGTTCTGTTCCCCATTCTGTCTCTGGTGAATCCTCTCAATGCCTCCACACCTCTGTCCTGTGCCCCAGCTCTTGTATGCATAAATAAATAAACCTTAAAAAAAAAAGGAAAAAAAAAACACTACTCACCTGTGTACTAGCAGTGTGAAAGCTGCCACAGACAATACATAAATAAATGAGCATGGTGGTTTTCTAATGCCCTTTTATAAAAACAGGCCTTTTGTGATTGTCTGAACTCATGAAAAC